CAATGATTGATATCGAATGAGATTGAGGAGACAATAGAAGGGGAACGGAGCAAAAAAATGATTAACGGTGTGAGAGTGAAAACAATAAAAATGACGGGAGAAGGAAATGGGTCGACGATGTAGTGGTAGGGACCTGTTTGAAAATCAGTAACACTTCTGCGACCGAAAAAAAGCATCCACTTCAAGAACAAACATCGATAAAGACTTAAAGGATTGAGCGATGGTGATCATTCGAAGTGTAATCATTTTTGTGCATGAAGAAAGAAAGAAAATGGATGGGTATTACAGTCAGTTTGCCTTGTTGGCCCTGACCACCCACAATTGCCAAAAAGACAAGACAAAAACTCCGCCAGAGTTGATCATTTGATACTAACTGAACTGTGATCTGCCTTGGGTTTTCTCTGACTATATGATCTGTTTTATTTCTCCTCACAATATGGGTGAATTCTGAATTGGACTACGGGAGCCTTCCACTTCAGCGGTTAAACTATAAGAAGACCCAAGATGAGCTCAGTTATTTCCAATTGAAGCACAAATAATTATAAAGTCAGCTGATGAGATCTGAAAGAAATACAGGTCGCTCCACATGTAAAAAAAAAAAAAAAAAAAGACAGCTTTTTGGTTCTGCTTCTATACATCTGTGGCATTTTTAAATGGTGGAGCACCAACCACTTACTGTAAGAAGACTCCAGGAAAATATAGTGCGGCACTTTTTCTGCAATGGCAGTGTTAGGGCACAGATAATAGAAATTCATGAGAAAACTTTGCAATTTAATTAAAACTGTTCAGTAAACTCAGTATTGGAAGGTGACCAGATGTACTCAAATTATTATTATAAGGCCATAATTCTGGTCAAATTAATCAACATTTTAGAGACAAAATAGCCATCAAAACCTTTGTTGAAAGTCATAATCTCCTTGCAGTGTTTAATTAAAATGCATCCAGTCTTACCGATCTGCAATATAGCATTTGGCCAATAGTGGTGATAGTAGTTTACAAACTGGGATTTATTTCAAACCAAGTCCAATGTAATTACCTTATATTCCCTGAAAGATTTTGGGCCTACTAAGAATTAAAAAAGGCTGTGATTAAGTGAGCCAGATTTGCATTCAAAATCAGGTCAGCAACAGTGTGCAAAATGCTTGTATTCAGGACGCGTGTAGCCTTCATTTGTACCGAAGGTTAGGGAGAGGAGATGCATCGTCTATCGTCAGTCGGTGCTTCTGTGAAGGTCAAGTTAATGTCTGTTGTGTAAAATCTCAATTTCTGTCTCGTTGCATTTCAGCAAGCAGTTAAATACTGTGGAGCTGTGGCGAGGTTTCAGATAAGGTCATTGCGATTCCAAACATGGATGCACCTTTTTTTTTATATGAGAATATACTGAGAGCAAGTTCTTTTTAACAATAAACGTTTGTTGAACTGATCCTTGGTGGTAAAATGTTAAAATCAGTGTGAAGCGACCCTGTGATATATCCTGTGAAAAGCTGATATGTTCCCATCAACGTAATTACTTGACCTGTATGAATCTGCGTGGAGGGAATTAAGGGGAATTTTCATTAGCAAAATGAGGAAATAAAAATGTGTGTCGCCTCATTTAGAAGCAGAAAGCATTTTTCTGTCAGGGCAGTCCTACGTTTTATGCCTAATGCAATCCGGCGTCTAAATTGACATCGTTATAAAAACATTTTCTGCACTGCATTGTTTTTCGGAACACTTTAACATTCAAACGTGCTGTAGGAGAATATTACTTTTTGTATACTTTATGAATATTACTAGGATGTAAGAAGTCCGGATGTGCTTTTGACTTTTACCTTCATTGACTAATTGAGATGAACAAGAAATTAATTTTCTTTAAAAAGGGTTAGGGAAGATGAGTGATGGTAAGTGACTGATGTCATCATTATACAAGCCAGTTTCCTCAAGGTTCAAATTGGCGTGTTTGGCTTTTTCTTTGACTGTTATTAGCTCACTAGCTCACCCTCACATAACGCTTTCATTTAACAGTAAAGTTTAGACTGTTTTTGTTTTTTTTAAACAGTGAATATCTTTACAGTTAAGAATGTAAAAATGTTTTTTTAATTGCCTATTCAGTATTATGATGTCTTTTTTTTTCTTTTTGCCTTTATTATTTCTGATGGAAATGTGTTTCCAAATCAGATTAAACTAGAGGTCTATGTGCATCCTGGAACAGATTGTGGAAAACTTTCGGGGCTCCACTGTACTACTTTGCATATTGTAGCCAATATGTGCAATTTAGCTTGTGGGTCCAAATGAGAGCACTCAACGTGAGACTGAACAAGATTTTCGACTGACATTTGTAGCACTGGATAAGAGCCATTGTTACATAAATGGAATACAGAGAGGTAATTAGTGAGTCCTCATTACTAGCTGTAGACATGAGATGGCATCATAAAAATAATGTATACTGTGCTATAGGAAATGGAGTAGGTATAGAGAAAAACAATGTCCTTGAAGCTAAATTACAGATTCCAGCGGAAAGCTTCTGTTAAAGCTACAATATACTGAAACCAAATAAGCTAAATGTACTCAACTGAAGAAAAAAAAAAAAACACACACAAAGTTCATGTTCACCCACCGCGAGCTGCTTCAGAGATGTATAAATGTATAAGACCGAGAAGCATGGAAAACGTGCGATGTGTGCTTTGCGTCTTTCTATGACGCATGCAACGCATAGTAATGAGTTGCAGCCACTGTGCAGAAAGGTGCATTGGTTTAGTGAAAACCTGGCATAATACACATCACAGCCATATACTGCGTGGGATTTTACAGGACACCGCGGAGATAGATTGAAAATATAAAAGAGATGCTTTCAGTAACAGCACCGCTAGCCTACACTTTTCTGTGTTGGTTTTGCCGCTGCCCTGCAAATGAATAATAAATGTACTTGCAACCAGATCTTTCCTTAATAAATCGAAAGTGGTTGAGGCAAGTTTCATGCTCAACTTCATCGTGTCCCAGGGCGTCGACGATAAAGGAGAGGAACACTAACAAGCCACTACACAAAATGTGTAACTTGTAGAAAAAAAACGACATCATTGATGTGCAAATGTAAAAACATTCCACCTCTGTTCAAATTTCTGCTCATTTGTTTTTATAGGTGTTGATCTGTCTGTCTGTTACCAGGATTATGTCAGTTTCCACTGAACTAGTTTTATGGGCATCGAGACAAGTCTTGCTGTAGGTAGAGCACATGGGCAGCCGCAGTCTGGACCATCGTCACTTTTTTCCCCCCCTCTCACACATTCGGTGTTTATGTGAATGAGCAGATGGTTGCACAATTGCCCAAACAGATGATGCGGTTCCACAAGTCCACATTCGAAAATGACTTTAATGAAATGAGGCGGTTCAACCGGTTCACATTATAAAATGATTTTAATGGTTTAACCCTGTGTCAATGCGGCCATGGTATGGAAGTCAAATGGCTTGTCCTCCTCACAACCTAGTCTTTGAGTCGAAACAAATGAATGGAATTCAACGTACAGAGAACTGCTACAAACTTAAGTTACACTAAATGGTGGTCAATGAGCTTAATGGCAATCACTGACTTTCTACCCCTTTGCCTGTTTCACTTTCACTTTTCAGGTTGTCAAGGGAACAGCAAGCTTGTCTTCTATCAGATGTGGATGGATTCCAAAACACTAAAAGGCTTGGAAATGGAATGAACAATTTTAACTTCACTTGAAATCTGTGCGCTGTGCCTTTGAGGTCCAGGTTGGACACAATCGTGTTTTCCATCAAAACACCCACCACTCGCTTGGTGAGCGGCAGTCTTTAAAGGGCATCTACTGAATGAAATGCAGCTAACAGTGTGGATAAAGGTACCACCGCAGTGTTGCTGCTTTTAGATGGTAGCTTAGCAGATAAGCATCAACAGACATCACTGTGAGTGTTGCCCTCTCAGTCACACACTCACACAATTAAAAATTAAGGCAATTGGCAGATAGTGTGCTAACTCTAGCTGGTATATTAGCTCAAAGGCACAACGTGGCACATATACACGTGGACTGTCTGTGGGCAGCAGGACAGATGCTGCCCGCACCCTCCCTCCTATTGTCATCTCAAAGCCAGCTGGAGAGAAGATGAGATTTGGGATTGATGGGTTCGGCCGTCTTTTTTTTTTTTTTTCCCCCTTTCCCCATCGCACCCTTTCCGCATCACTCCACCCGACCTGGCCTGTCATACCGCAGCCAAGTCCCTGCTTGAAATATCATCATAGGGATTGCCTTTCGTAAAAATACCACACAATCTTCAAAGATTTGAGCCTTTAAGAAGTTGTTTCTTGATTCTGTCATCAGAACAGCAATTATATCACATTATGTCAAAATGGTGTTCACAGCACAACCAAGAACCTTTATGACTGAAGACCTGTAGCAGAAGCACCTCAAATGACAATTCCCCAAGCAGAAATGCTTGCACGTAGCTTTGAAAGAAAAGAGTAAATGAGGAAGATAGGCATAGATACTGAGTACAATGAAAGCAGAGCAGGAGTAATTTTTTTTTTAAAAAAAGGACAAGGGGCAAGACCACACCAAGGAAATATTTGTCTAAAATGGCCTGAGATGTGACGGAATACCCTTCAGGCCGGACATTCTCCTTTCTACTGCCCCTCCTCCTGCGTTCATCCCTCCCTCTCTCCGCTGCGCTCAACTACTCAAATAGAGCGCAAGCTTTCCTGAGCTCTGACTACAGTGCAACGAAAGACACTGAGAAAGAGAGAGCAGAGTGCTCGGGCCGAGCTTGATCACTTACACAGATGGTAGAGAGGAGAAGGACGACGACCTGCTGCATCTGCGCTCGCTCATCGCTGGACACCCATTGAAGGCAAGAAAGAGGGAAAGAAATGAGAGGGATGGACATAAAGGCAACAGAGGACCTGAGGGGGAAGTCGGGATATCGATGAGGATACAAAAGCTGATGTAGCGCGTGTTTTGATTGCAAAGAAAGGACTTCCGAATATCTCAGACTGCTACTGCGTGTAATTCAACGGCAACTTCAGTGTGGGAGTCAAGCACATATTTGTGGAGGGAAAAAAAGAGCTGACAGAAAGAGCGAGAGAGAGAGAGAGACAGAGAGAGAGAGCAAGCGTCGGAAGATCGCCAAGTGCACAGCCTGTGTGGGACAAACAGACTGTGACACATTGCCTCGTGTGTATTTACTTAAATGATAGTGTGTGTGACCTCGTAGTCCACCGTGCTAACCGGGAGTTTGGCCCATTCACGCTCGCCGGGCCTTGGTGGCTGGTCCTCGCAGGAAGCACAGGAAGAGGAGGGCTGGGTACAGTGGCAGGCCCAGCAGTGGGGGCATGGCCATGGGGGGGCCGCATCTCTTCCTCCACCTTGCACCGGGACAGGAACTGGGGGTTTTGGGGTGGGGCTCCTTTCAGAGGTGCACCAAGACTCCCGGAGCTGAGGCCTTGGCTGAGCAGAGCAGCACCTGGTGTCGGGGGCTCGGGTAGTCATAAGGAAGGGAGCGCAGCGGAGAAAGCAAGACGGGGAAGATGTTCTCCAAGAGTCTGGCTCGTACTCGGCTCGCTGGTTCTGGTCTTTCTCACCTCGCTCTTCTTCTCCGTCTCGCTCCGGAGCGGCGTTGGCTTCAACTACCTGGAGCCGCCGGGGTGGGAGGTTTCTCGGCGGGTGAAACTGGTGCCCAGCTATGCGGGCTCACACAAGCAGAACCCCCGTGACTCTCAGCAACAGAAAACGTGCGCCTGCTCTCGCTGTGTTGGAGACCCCGGTGTCTCGGACTGGTTCGATGAGAACTATGATCCAGATATCTCACCTGTTTGGACCAGAGACAACATCGAGCTGCCCTCTGATGTCTACTACTGGTGGGTGGTAAGTAACAACCCCCTTTTACAATAGAATCTTCGAAGTTTAAAACCCCACAGGCCGTATAATAATAATAATAAAACTGCTGTCATGGATGACACCACACAAAAGAGCAGCATTAATTTCACACCGGAGTTTTGCTTTTTCGAGGCTTTTGGTCCAGACAACTGTCAATGATGCAAGGAGAATGTTTCATGATAGATAACCAGACTCAGAAGTGGAACTTATATGAGACACACATTTTTTTCTTGGCTGTAGAGAATATTATGGTACATTTATTCTTAACCCATTTAAAAATTGAATGTCAGCATCCCGTAGAGATGCATTCAAATCATGAATTGACCCGTGACATTTGTAATCTTGCACACTCAAGTTTAAAAGCAGACGCAGAAAGCAGTGTTTTTATGATTATATGACCCTCTCTTTGTTGCTGTGACTATTCAATATCTATTTCCCAAAAACACAAGATAAGCGATGCACTGTAAACTTTGCAGTCAGAATATATTTGAATGCAAGAAACCACCAGAATGAAAGAAAAACACAATCTGACAGTTTCTACTTTACCAAATGTTTTCCCATATACAGTATGTGTATATTTTACAGAGGGAAAATTTAAAAAATTTAAACATAGGCGTCTTAAACACTAATCCCAAATCTATTTCCTCCTCTGTTTTCCACTGCTTTGAGTACATCTTTCCATGTTTCTCACATGTTAAGATTCTGGAAGAGCAAAAGGACTTCAGAACAAAAATACAGTGGGCCTACATCCTTTGACAACGTTCAAATTATCGGTCTGAACCTTGGTTTTAAATCTACTTATGAAGGGTTCATGTAGGAGCATGTGCGGCTTCAAGCCGGAAGTCTCCCTCCAGCACGTACGGCATAATATTGCAAACCCGGACTAACAGCTGCCAAGTCATTAGGTCACGTTGCAACAGGGAGATGATGAACGAGGAAGGAGCAGAGTCGAGAAGAAGTAAAGGGGGAAAATTGCATTAGGGGTGGATGGGAGGGTGGGGGGGGGGTCGCTCCTGCAGACGTGAGACAAATCGGAGGATTCACTGACGTAGCCTATAATCCTTGAATGCGCGATGACCTGTTTTGGAACCTGCTACGCAATGTTTGTATGACCCACCCTCTTTCTCGTCATCAGTGGTGATGTTAAGTGCCGTTACTGGTTTGCTTTTGGCAGATTTCTACTTCCTTTTTTTTTTTTTTGCTCCCAGTGCACTTTGCTTAGAAGAACGCTGAGCTAGAGCTGGTTTTAGTCGGCTTTTTGTGAACCAAGACTTGGATTTGACTATTCTTTGACTGAGGTTGTGCATTCGAGACTCATCTTTTTGTAATGCTTGGCCAAAAGGAGCACAGAGGAAAGGTGTAGATGTGCCATGTGATCGGCCGGAGACCACTCTTGGGTGAACCTGGCCTCTTGCCAAATTCAGCTTCGGGCACGTAACTCTTCACCTTTGACCCTAATGAGGGGCATAGAATATGGGAAACGTGGTTTTGAAAGTTGACCGAACTTAAGTTCTGCCACCTGTCTTGTGTCCTGTTAAATGATTTGTCAGTATAAGCTTGAGTGTGAACTATTGCTGGTGGATCCTGCAATAGTATTTAATGCATAATGTGTGTCTCTTGACTGGCCGCCCTGAAAAATAAAATAAAACACCCATGCGTTAGAAGTGGCTGCCAGTATCTTGTACTTTAGTAGTCATCTTACAGGGAGATTAAGGGTCCCAGAACAACAGAGGCGCAATGTGGCAAGCTGGATTTGGCATCTCACGGGGGGCATCGGAGACAGAAAAGCCAAAGGATGGAGGGATGAAGAAAGCTTGGGAAGAAGAAACGACGACAAAGCAATGCACCAGCTGGAGAGTGAGAGAGGTAATGGGGGAGTAAAAGATAGATTTAGTGCTGTGTGATTGGCACTGATGAGCCGCGTGCCGTTCGGGTGTCCCAGAGAGACTAAGGAAGACGAGAGAAGGAGGAGAAACAAAGAGGGAGCAGGGGAAATTAAAGAGAAGGAATTAGACATGACGGCACGCAGGCTGCTGGCGAAGATGTGTGGATAGAAATATAAAGCAAGACGTGTGTCAGGAGAAGGAAATCTAGGCTGACTGCGACTGAGAGTGTGTGAAAACGATGACAAGGCAGGACTTTTGTTTAGTTGCTTGAATTTACTCCAGACGTATGAATGAATATTTGCCCCTGTGGTATGCTGATGTTGATGCTACGGAGAGACTCCAGGTTTGATGCTTTCAGCTCCATCCATTCGTAAAATCTAAAGTCAAGCTATGCCATCATCTTCCTGCTGCAACAAGCTCTTTCTTTTATGGAGTCGCCGAGGAGCAGTGTGAGAATCATGGCGGGAGAAAGCCGCAGCAGACAAGCGTCTGACGGTGTGGCCTACCTAACTGACGACCGCAGTACGTGAGGACGCATGATGTTGTGTCCGATACGGTAGTCTGCGCCACAGGGCCCCTCGAGCGACACGATCGCTGATTCTATTCCCCCTCTACGGCTTAGACTTCAGCTATAATTCTATTTTTTGTCACCTGCGATAAATCTGCCCTTGTCAGGTGGATGAGCAGGAGTGCAGGACTTTGTGGACTTGTGTGACCCGAAACCATGAGTGCACGGAACAATTTTGGACTTGTTCTCAAAGGAGCATCTCATGCAGGGGCATGCGGGGTTGATGCCCGGCGCAATCAGCCGCTTTCGATGCCCCCCAAATTTTTGGGTGGGGTCAACGGTGGGAGGAGATGTGGGTGGCATTAGTTTTGTGTAACTATTTTCACTCTTGCGGCGAGTAGGGAGAGTCAGGTGGAGTCGTGTATAGTTAACCGAGAGTGCATTCGAACCAGTAGCGATGGAGAAATCAAAACAATTAACCCATGAGGATTGCTTTCGGGGAAGAAAATATTCCACCATGACAAGGGATATGGAGTTGCTGAAAGCAGCAGGAAGCTTTCGTCCGCCCAAAAGTAAGCATCCATCAAAAGAGGCTCCGTGTGCACGAATATCGTCACCCTCATGCAAAAGCGACACCGCAGCGAAGAGGCCAGCGCAATTTATCTAACCCTTGTCAATCCAAAATTAATAACAACTATAGCCATGGAATACTTAATTTTACAATACAAAACAGAACTGATGCAATCCCCTAATTTCTAATTTATAATCTATAATTTCTGATGCTACATAGCAGTATCAAATATATATTTTTTTTAATCACTGCCCTTTCACACATTTCTTGAAAATACAAAAGGACTGAGATGGTTTATTTTTGACAAGATTGTTCCACAAATTGAGTCAAACATAACTCCAAAAAATGAATTAGTCCTTTCAATCCCTGTTCCCTGCACACTCAATCTCTGTTGCCTCCACATCAATACTCCTGCAACTAAAAATCATATACTGTATTTAGCTTTGCAGTAATTTAAAGACAATCTGTTTGTGTTTCTGTTTTATACTGTAAATTCATCCATCTAGCCAATATAGAATAGACACGCTCACACACGTGCGTGCGCATGTGTTCACACGCTCGCAAAAATGACCACATTTCCATTATGTTGTCACATTCCACTGCAGGGCCTCCTAACCATATTTTCCTCTCCCTGTAGATGTTGCAGCCCCAGTTTAAACCCCACAGCATCCAGCAGGTGCTCCTTCGGTTGTTCCAGGTATCTGATTAAACTTATCATTATTACTTTGCTACTTTTAAATAAGCAAAGCGTAAACTCTAAAGTGGCCTCATGGGATTATTTTTTTTCCACGTTTTAATTTTTGTGGGGTACTTTGCTTATCTACGTTCGAATTATTATTTTTATTATTATTTTATCAACTGCTCCTAGAGGTGGAGTCCTACTTCACTCCCTCTGATATGTCATCATGACAGGTTATCCCTGGACGATCTCCATATGGCTCATGGGATCCCGGACGATGCCTTCGGTGCGCTGTAGTGGGGAACTCTGGCAACCTGCGCGGGGCTGGATATGGAGCGACCATAGATGGACACAACTACATCATGAGGTGAGAGGTGTGAATAGTGTGGATATGTGAGACCATACAAACATAAAAGTGCGGAAGCAGATGGCTGAAGGATATCGTCACTCAGCCCAGCATGTGTCATTCAAGTTACATCATGGGTAAAAGGAGGTAAAGCAAGCAGATGTGCAAATAATGAAATATTTAATCTTAGCGTTCTGTATGTTCCCGCTGGTTGGCGCCAGGTCACCGGCTTCTTGGGAGATCAAGAATCTTAAGAAGTTGAATATTATCACTTGTATTTGTCCCACACGCATGCCGAGTAAATCCTTTGGTTTCAATCTCGTCCCTCTGTTGTGCTGTGCCAAATGCAAATCCCTGAAATAAAACGTCACGTTTGTAGTCAGATGGTTTCATGATCGGGAATCAATTCCCACAAATAATATATAATATATCCCTCGCTGCCCCTCATCGTGGTGTGGAAGAATTTATGATTGTTGCTAGCACAGGGGTCGTGTGAGGTCTATCTCCGCCAACTAATTCCTGTTTACACTTATTAAGTTACACATTTTGGAATGGGTAGGTGAAGGATAGCACTCGCGTCGATTTTGATTTTGTAAAGAATATTGTTTCATTTCATTCTGTCATTTCCATGAAGGATCCCAGGAAGAAGAGTCGTCACTAGGGCGAAAACTAATTGGGATCCCATTTTAAACAAACAGTAAACTGACATTTCCATTGTCTGTAAAATTAAATGGTGTGTGACACCAATGTCACAAACGAGCGTGATGTGGCTTGTCGCCTGTCTTCTGACAATGACTTGCTTCCTCAATGCCAAACATTATTTTTACCCGAAATAATCCAAAAGCTAAAAAATGGATTGATGCGAGAGACCTATGCTCTCTCTGTACTCGTTAGGGGACGCAAATATTCAAGTTGCCACTGGCAACAGACATGTTTAGAATTGTTCAGCTGAGGTTGGCACGTCTGCACTCTGCAGTACTAGCAACTCCCATTTTTTTTTGTGGTGTCTCAATGCGAAAGAAGTAGAAAAATATATCAGCATTGCATTCCAAGTAGACATGTGTGGGCAGCTTCCCTCGTAGCATGTTCCACGTTCTCATTTCTGCAGTTCGACTCTAATTTGTATTTAAAATGAGCTTTGGCACACCACTACTGCCGCCCACCTTCTGCCTGTCTGGACAAACTGCTTTATTCACTGTGGCTAGAGACTTTCTTGAGTATATAAAGTCAACTCACCGGTATGTATCTGCAATGCATTGTCTTCATTTAACATACGAGTAAGATGGTCATTACTGATTCGGGTCACTGTCTCAAGATCAGTGCATCAGTGTTCCATTATGGCCTTCATCATTATTCAATATATTTTACAGTCATTGGACTTAGCCGTAGTCTGACTATGACAAATTGATTTTGTACAGGGAAGAACAAGAGAGCGCGTCTGTATTATAGCGAGGTTCATCATCTGAGTGTGCAAATCACATTTAAGGAGGACATATTCTTTGCTTGGCAAAAATTGTACTTTTAGTGGCGATCTGAAGAGGAGTGTGTCACTGATCGTCAATTTTTTAAACCACAAAAGACAGCGGCCATTGCTTTTCCTTCACTTCCATCTGCAAAACTGGAAGGGAACATTAGTGACTGCTCTTTTTTGAAATTTGTCAACTAGCCTCAGCAGGTTATTGTCATTTTTACTTTTATATTAACAGCAAAACAATTTAACTTGACCATTTTTCGCATAATCAATTGCTGAATACATTATTTATATGCCAGAATTTCAAAGCTAATAGTGGAAAACAATCAACAGTAGCCTCTGTGGCCTTGGTCCAAGTCTACCATCTGAGGAAGCCATAAAGAATCACTCCGAGAGGCTGCGGCCCCATGTGTCTTTTTAGTACGGTATTTAATATTGAACAGCACGTCATGTTTCTAAATGAGCAAAACAGGTGGCGCCATTCTTTCCTAGCCATCACAGTGCGAAGATCTCTCATATTGCTCCCCTCTCGCACTGTTAGGATCAACTTGGCCCCCACAGTGGGCTACGAGGAAGATGCCGGTAGCCAAACCACTCACCACTTCATGTATCCAGAGAGCGCCAAGAACCTGGCGGCCAACGTCAGCTTTGTCCTGGTTCCTTTTAAAACACTGGATCTCGTTTGGATCACCAGCGCGCTGTCTACCGGCCAGATCCGATTGTAAGCGCACGATTGACGATTGTTGCGGGAGTATCCGTCAATGTCAATCAATCCAACAGATAGAATGGTAATTCAAAACGTCTCTCCTCTAGCACCTACGCTCCGGTGAAGCAATTTCTCCGTGTGGATAAAGACAAGGTGAGTTGTAATATATACAGTAGGTGTTGGCTCACGTATTCCAACAACACACACACTCATGCAGACACCGACTGCTTTCCTACAATTATGTCCCTTTTGTTGATGAGGGATTAGTTAGGCTAGAAACCATCTCTTTGTTTTAACTAATCTTCCGCTCGTTCTTTAATCCATGAAAATAGATAAAGTCCGCATAATCCCTTCCATGTGGAGACTTTATGTGGACTCTTCGTCTGAGCACCAACACAGTTTTACAGCCTGTTTTGGAGTGCAACCAAAACTATGGATTTGTAAGATTTCCTGAGAGCAGCCTAAAGCCTTATTTGCTGGCACTGAATGTTACCTGTAGATTAGACAAGTGGAATTTCTCATCAAATCATTAATCTTGAAAATACATTTTAAAGTATGGAAATCCTCAGGGAGTGTTTAACCAAATTCTTAAATGTTCAGTCATACAATCCAAGTAAACGTCGTCTTCTTCCCATGTGGGTATGCTGACTTCATTCTTTCCAGCAATTCCATATGTTTTCTTTTCATTGTCTATGTCCAGGTCCAAATCTTCAACCCGGCATTCTTTAAATACATTCACGATCACTGGACCAGGCATCATGGCCGCTACCCATCCACAGGCATGCTAGTGCTCTTCTTCGCCCTACACGTCTGCGATGAGGTCAGTGAAGTACAATCATTTCATCAACAGCATTGTTCTCATATTCAGAATGCCGCATGTGCTTCCAATGCCGGCTTTTCCAGGTGAATGTATTTGGCTTTGGGGCGGACGGCCGTGGAAACTGGCACCACTACTGGGAGCAGAACCGTTATGCTGGAGAGTTCCGAAAGACGGGGGTCCACGATGCAGACTTCGAAGCTCAGATCATTCAACGACTGGCTGAGGCTGGAAAAATCACCGTTTATCCTGGCAAATAAGTCACTAGCCAGCCAAGCTAAGGGAAACGGGTTCAGCCAGAGATGGTGTGTTAAACCTTTTTCAGCCAACGGCGAAGTCCTTCTAAAGGGGTTGCGAAAAGGTCACTGATGTGTAACACCATATCAGATTCAAGCCCTCTAGCTAGTAACTAAATGTTTGGATGTGGACCACCGCTCAAGATATCAATCTGAGTGAGGCTCTGCTCAGACCGTGATGGGGAGAGTCAAGCCTCCGGGTTTCACCTCTTGTGATCAGCGCTGAGACTGAAAGACACAGGCTGCATTTTGGAATCGCAAACTTCAACTCGAGAGTGAAAAACAAAGCTGTCAAAGAAACAATGACACTGAGTGGCCCTGAGATTGGCACTGAAAGAGCTCAAAAGGGATTCATCACATGCTGTCTTGCTCTCTAATCCGACACCATTTCTATAGATACGGATTGCCTTGAGCAGAAAACGGCGCCATCAAACTACTCCTGTGGACTATTATTCTCTAGACAGTGTTTCCAATAGCAACAAAACGACTGAGCTGTGGATGTTGACCAACACGCAATGCAACACTGAAGGTGTGCAGACAGACAGGCAGACAGTAATGACTCACCACACATTATGTGCCAGCGACTGACGCACACAGTGAGATTTTCCATTTTAGAGGCATTACCTAGTTTGGAAAGGAAAACACTTCACTTCTTTACAAGAATGACGACCGTGTTATATTAAAGTTTTTGTTCAAATGAATAGGTTACATTCGGTGATTACTTGGAGTTGAGAGAAAGATTCTCCTGGAATCCTGTTTCAGTGAAAGTTCCAAGAGGACATTGTTTTGACTGCGTGTTTGGACGCTTGCACGCTGGTCTCGGATCAGACTTTTAATAATCCCCATGTGGTGTGTCACGGTCTAATTTAAGAGCCGAAGCACGACAAAGCCAGCGGGGCACAGCATCATTTGGTCCGAGTTTGTGGTGTTTCGCAAGTTCTTAAGGCTCTCGGCAAACTGTGCTGCATTTCATCTTTTAAAGGACTGCAAACAGTCCAAACTGACTTTTGCATCCCGGTGGATTTAGCTCATTCTTGATTAGTGGCCATTTGATGGATGGAAGACCATCGGAAACCACTTGGATGTGAAATCGTTGAACATGTTAGTTTCATCTTCTGCTAGTCCTGCCTGGTACCTGCCAATTAAACCTTCAGCTGTCTCTTCAAGAGGAGTACAGTGTCACCACACGCCTTAGCTATCACCATTTACCTGCAATTCCCGTTTCGTTTTTTTTTTCTTTCTTCATATTCTCTTTGGCACAATGTTTGATTTCCATTGTTTCATTTTGACTGCATTCTGTGGTTTCTAACTGTTGCTGCGCTCTCCAGTGATGTTACTTTATCGCTCGCTGGGTGATCCTTGAAACATTTTTATTTGGTCAAAACAAGTATCCCATTTAAGGGTGCATTTGGGGAAATGCTTCATTTTTGTCGAGGAGCTACATAAAAAGGATTAATCGTACTCCCATAACAGCCTGTTAAATTAATAAACCGAATCCAAAGAATGTTTTCTACCAAATTGAAGTTACCAGCCCATAGCATTCAAATGATTATGATGATTTTGGCTTGAGATTTGGAGTTGGAATACAGACAAAGGCATAAGAATGATATTAATCACATACCTGCTGACTGGCGAGCAGTTTAGGGTGTATCCCACCTCTCCCCCAAAGTCAGCTGGGATTCTAGTGAGGATAAGCGGTACAGAAAATGAATGGATACACAGCAGGCACTTTATTAGGAACACTATCACAACCAAGTGCAAAACAATACAGAAGCTCCATTCAAATTCTGACTCCATGACGTGAGTCAGAAAGAGCTTCCAACAACCACAATAGAAACATATTGTAGAATTAAAGCAGCTTTCATATCAGAACTCATTAAATGGTCTCCCGAACGTCATGACTGGTGAGTGTAAATATTCAACACATTACGGACATTAGCCGCATTTCAACAAAGAACAAAGAAACCATGATGAACATCATGCCTAAAAAAGAAAGTAACGCTGGCCAACAAAAGATGATTACCATGAAGCAGTTAAATGTTAACAGGTACACAGGCTAAAATAACTCAATAACTCAGCAAGTCCATCTTAATTTGATTGTTTTTCAGTCAGCCTATACCAGTTACCAGGTGGACCTTAAAAGCTGCTTTTGTCGCGCTTTTCTGTTGCCATGACAAGGTTCTACTTTAGGCTGCCGAAAGCACCTGCAAGGACAGGATTTAAATCATTCGAGGCTAGAGCCGATGAGAAAAGACCATTTCCATGTGATTTGGCAGATTAAAAAAAAAAAAGATATTTTTCTACAGGAGAAAACAACACATCAGAAGACTTAAGGAAAAATACTTCATACGCCTTTTCAGATAAAAATGAATAATACTAATTTCAATAAAAGAATATAGCTCATGTTACTGAGGTTGAGGCTCCATCTGTAACACAAGCACATTTTAAAGGTCGGTAGAAGCTACAAAATGTATCATTCAAGTTTAACTTCCAGCATGTCCATGTTGACTCACAATTCAACTTTATTTTTCAAGGAGGGGGGGTCTCATAGACAGGGTTTGAGACACGGCCTGCTTTACTTTTCAATCCAGCCCAGCCATCGTTTGCATATTTGATATCATTAAGAGTTTCAGGGGGTCATTAAAATCGGCATATTCCTTCATTTGTTTTTAGTTTTGTATTCATTCTTCTAATTAAATAATTGGTTAGCATATTTACAATATTCTAAACAATAACATTTCAAAGATAGTAAAACTTTACATTATTCGATTTTTTTTAACATCCATTACTTGCATAATTTACTACAATTAAATTATAAATAATGTCATTTTAAAATGAGAATTAATAATCTCATATTGTGTACACACAATGTACATTTTTTAACCTAATCTGCAAATGGTCTTGATTAAAAGTCAAATGTGCCCCTCGCATACAAAAGTTTGCCCATCCATTTTAGGCTGCCCCTACCTGGTGATGAAAAGAATTCCTCCTTCTGTGCTAATATCAGCCTTATTTACATATCAATGTCTTTTATTTTTGGATGCTTCAATCCTGTCTTTGATCAATTCTTATCATCTCTCTTTGCACACGACAGCTCTTAAAAGGAGATTTTAGTTTGTTTTGCAGAGACAAGAGTGGCTGAATAAGGACATACAGTACAGTAGTTGCGACTCCTTGCCCACACGCAACATTCAAGCTTCAGTGGATTGGCTGCCACTGCCGGACATATCAACCCTCGAGCCACTCGCTCACGACAACCATCTGCTAAGCTTTGCATCTTTTTGCTTTGCACTGACTGACACACACCTGCTGTAGGTCTGCTGGCTGCGAGCTGTGCCTTCTGCGCTGTACACACTACAGTACATACACAAACATATTCCGCCTTCCTGTGGTACATGCTTTCACCCTTGCCGTCTTCCTTTTTTATAAAGATGGCCACAGGTTGCAGTAGGTGATGTGTGTGATTCATTGCTAATTTTTGAATAAATTGCTCGCATTTACCGTCTGTCAAGAACCATACTTTGGTATTGCATCTTATACTGTAGTTGTCCAGTACTCACTCAATAAACAAGAAGACATATTCAAAGATGAGTTATACAGTATCTCTAGTCATAAATTGGTTCCTGGTTCCAATTTTTCTTGGTAGTATCCTTATATATACAATGAGGATGTCAAAAGTCAACACTCCCCTCCTATGTACTATGTCAAAAATGAGAGCAAAACTAAGCAAGGGAAAAAATATATACCGGTAATAAAATTGAAAGCCTAAATATATTTAGTTGCCAAACTATTTTTGAATTACACATGATTCATTTTCACAACTGTCATCTTTTGGGTATCTATAAGGCACAAACTTGGTTGTATTTGATCATTCTTTTACTGGAAAGGTGCTCCATATAAATCGCATGCATGTATGCGATGGCATCCCTTGGGCTCAGTCATTCCCACAGGTTTTTTTATTTTAATGAGGTCTCAACTCTGGCAAAACGAGCCCATTAAGTCATAAAAGGCTTCATACTTGCTCTTATTCTGTGAAGAAAATCAGAGATTGTTTTCATAGGTATTTTGGGCTTCCAGCACGCCCGACATTTTAAACAAATTTCATCTTGTATGTAGGTTGAGAGGGCCTCTGCCTTGATACATGTAAATGTGGTAAAGCTCTTAATAACTCACATTTTAATTTTGTCCTTTAATTAATTTAGTTAATTTAATTAAGAGCCACTTTAATTAATATGACTAGCTATTCGAATCACCCACCCTCCCGAAAAAGTAATTTCAAAACATAACTTTAAAAGAGATTGTTTTAATCTTAACACTGATAATTCCCACCAACACGATTGTAATGGTTTGGGTCCAATACAATTTTTTTTTTCAAACTGAATCATTGAGGCATTTTTCATATTATCTTCTATATTTTCCATTTTTATTGTCATTGACTCAGCACACATTTTTCCAGGGATGGCAATTTTTATATCCACTGTATGACACTGTGTTATTAATATTAATATTCATCATTTGTTTCCCATGATGCAACTTCTAGCTTCGAAGATTATTTATGTGTCTCAAGCACCAGACTAACATTTCTATGACATTGTTGCTCTTTGTATGGAATTGATTTTCTTTGTTTCCCATGATGAAAAAGGTCGGGACAGGCTGTTACGAGCAAAAACAGCCAACTATTATTATGATAATCATGATTGTGATTATTATTATTATTATTGTTGTTGTTGCTTTTAAAATATGGCAACAAGTAGATAGGACATCTAATGTAGGGCTCTGTGGAAGTCTGAGCAAGACTATGTTTTGACTAACTAGTTTTGTTATTTCACTTTGGTGATTATGTTAAGGTTAGAACAAAACACACGAGTTGTTTGAGTAAAAATGGACAGTTCCGATACAGTATGTCCTCGTGTATTATTGGGTTTTTCAAAAACAAAACAAAACACGTTTCAAGCTTATGTTTGCATTCGCTTTGGCTGCAACCGAATCATTCAGTGTACTGTATTGCGGGCAATGTTAAAGAGGTGTCTCATTCATGACTGACAGAAGAAATAAAGAAGTAGAAAATGTTAGCTCAATCTAAATCGATCCTAACGTTCCATCCAGTCGTGGGATTGTGTCATCATCGGCTCGTGACGGATTGGCGTTCATGTGACATCTTTCATCAGCCTGTGTTTATATTTCGTCCCTTGTGTACAGTATTTACAGCGGCAGAACACTCAGTCTTGTACTTGTTGTCATTCCACTTTGTATCTTAGGTTGTAAAAATAAACGCTTGAAATGATATGTGTTGTGTTTTGTATATCAACAACACCTCGTCACTTTATCATTGAGCAATTTCAAATGAGATTTATATTCAGTGAGAATTATCTGTTTCAAATTGAATCAAGTCACCTAAAATAGTTGTAACTCGGTTTTACTCACACAGAGAAGGACGACTTGTAATGGTGGCATTGTGGTACTTCAATTTAAGGAAGTCAACCTCCTCAATTCACCTACATGAGGGTAGTGCTAAGCGTTACTGAGCCAATTAGCTAAACAGCGCTAACAGGCGATACGCACAAATTGACGGTAAGTAGTTTACATACCAGCGAACTTGTGGTCACGAATGCACCATAGCGATAATAATTTATAAAATACGAAAACGTTTCATTCCCGGTTTTTAATTCTTTGACTTCGTAAATGCAGTCACTGCTGTTACTGAATATTTTTGTTCACTTGAATTGTCACCGTTAGCCTACTTCGGGAAAAATAACAATATAGCCATTCAAAATAAATCAGGATGTTGAAGCTTTTATATACTTGTTGTGATATTAAAATTTACACTAATAATTCCAAAACTATTTGTACAAGTGGAGGAAATAAGAACAGGGCACAACAGTTTGACCCTGAAAGATTTGAGTTTTAAAATTTAAAAGAAGATGAAAATGATAAATAACCAACTGTGCTTTATTGGACTGACGTTCATGTGTGGAAGAGTAGTTTACAGACAGTGAAAGTCAGAGCATTGGGGGCCAATCAAAATCACCTATGCAGGATGCAAATGAACACCTCATGTTACCTACGTGTGACTGGACTTCATACACTAGTTCACTACTTGTTAAAGTATTGCTTATTGTGAATTCAGTTTTGAGTTATCCGCCATCATACAGCGCTTAGTCTGCGCTCGTTAGGTCAAAACAGCAAAAAAAAAAAAGGTAAAACAGCTCATCTTCCAAAAAACTAGTCACTTCTATCTCAGAGTACCACTTACATCCCATAGGTCAGATTTTCACTTCCCTTCAACAATTTAACCAAAATGCAGATGCTGAGGATTGCGTGCAGAGTCTCATACACTGTATCACTGAGCTAAATACAGTACTGACATAAAGACACTATACGTACAGTATATAAGGGATGAAAATGAACTGTGTTGGTAAATTCACTTAGGATCAAAGTGTGCTTTTCTAGCATTGTTTACTAAAACTAATCTCCCGTGGCTGAACAAAGCTTTGCACATTTGTTTTAAAAGTATGTGTAATTCTTTTTAGTGGATTTGATGTAATTGTAAATTTTCTTCATCTGTAGGAGAGAAATTGTTCCCCAATAAAATTATGCTCAGTAATCCACATCTCATTTCAAGTGTGATCAATCAAAACTGAAATTGGCCATTATGTGAAAGTTCAGTGCAGACCCACTTGACTTGATCAACATAAAATTGATTTGTGAAAAAACAAAGAAAAGTTACACGCCTAGCAAGAGGGAACAATTTATTCCAATCTCATAATGTCTCTTCCATGGAACAGCTTTGATGATACAACAAATTAAACATTGTGTATTGAGGTGAAAAAAGAAATGAAGTAGAACATACTGAATGGAGAACATAATCATTTACACAGGACAGACAAATATATTAATTTACTAGCTCAGACCGTTAGAATCTGTAACATGATGGCTTCTTAATTTTACAAGCAATGATGCAGCAACAGTTTATCCAAACAGCTCTGGTTCACATGTGATGGACGGTAGACCCATGCACCCCCGAGTCTAGACAGGGGACACAGTTCAACGGTTGGTCAATTTGGAGTGGGAATTAGCCCTGATCATATCAGGAAGGCAAAGTGCTTTTGGTTGTTTTTCAACATCTGTAAGAGTACATCGAGATGAGCAGGACAGGAGCAGTACAGACTCACTAGAAGTTAATGCTCCAAACAGTGAAGTCAAGTGCAAAACTGTCACTATTCTGCATGACCCAGAGACAAACTCCGGGATCCTAAATTACCATTCATGTCCTCTGTAAGCAAGCAAGCAAATTAAATCACAGGCCTTCTCTACTGCCTGTTATGTCCCGTCAGTGTAAATTGTGAGATGTCATGAATTTATTTCAAATTAGTGTAATTTCCACAGAGATACATTTTGAGTGAGGTTTAGGTGAACAAACCCACTCTCAATAGTGGTCACAGGCCAGCAAAGTAAGAGCGAGAAACCAAAAAAGGTGCTGCTCCGTTCTGGATCAGCCTGACAGGAGCAGATTAGATGATGCTCCCATCTTCCACCCTATTTAGAGCGTGACACTTCACTGGCTCCTCTTCCTGACTCCGAGCCCACATCTTAATTCTCCCCCAGCTTGAGAGTTGCAAACTGCTTGGCCATCTGTAGCGCCTCCTGGAGACACTCTGTGTTGCGACCAGCGGCCTGTGCAGACATGTCCTTGCCGCCTCCTTTGCCGTCCATCAGGGGGCACAACTTCTGGACCCACTCGTTAGCCTTCAGTCCACGGTTGGCTTTCTCCTGCGGGGTCAACACAGGTTCCCATTAGCATCAGCAATGCTGAGTTGGAATTCACAATGCATGACCAAAATACATTAAACATGCGCCTGCGTATGTGTGTGAGACAGATGAAAAGGAAGGAAAGCTGTGAAACGGCATTAATGACACACACCTGAGGGACTTCACACAAGCAGATGACCTTGCCGGCATCGGGGTCCACAGCGAAGAGCATGGCGGCGGTCTGAGGGGAGCTGGCCTTCAGCACCTTCAGGCACTCGTTGAGGGCCTGAGAGAACGGGAGGGGTGAGTGGGGATTAAAAAAAAAAAATCTGCTCATCGACATAGCTGACATCTCAAGGTCACAACTAATGAGCTGATTTCATCCCATGATGAAAACAATGAGATACGAAAGAGAATATACTAAATTTTTAAATAGTTTGGACTTTCTTCCTGGGTGACAATTTCTTTTAGCTTCACAAAATCTCAGTCTCAAGACTTTCATTAAGAAATGAAATTGACCTTGGCTGAAGCCCCGGTTTCCATGGCCATGACCAGCAGTGCTTGATTGGGGCTGCTCTCGATCACCTCCTTGGTCTTCTCCAGGACTCTCTTCTGGATGTCCGCCTTGTAGGAGCGGTCCAGGTCATCCATGGTCTTCTTCAGGGCCTTCAGGGTGTCCCTCATCTCATCCTTCCGCCACTGGGAGATCACTGCGGTGCCGATGGACTGCGCACAAGGCGACACAGTCAATCAAGTTGTAGTTCACAGAGATCTTACCAACTCAAGGAAGTGGCCATCGCACCCCCCTCCCCCCAACAATAGAGCTTTCATATAGTCAAGGTGCCACTTCAATGTACTTCCAGCATCACAATGAAGGAAATTTAGACAATAAGAAGGCAAAACATGTTACATGATGCATGAACATACCTCTGACATATCGGCAATCTCTTTCTGTATGTCTTTGTTGGGAACTGTTTGCTGCTTTACTTTGTCTGCCAGGGCGGTCAGAGCTTGGTTGAGCGTGTCTGCTTTCCTCTGAGCCTGGCGAGCAACATGAGCAAAAGCAACTGTATTTGTAAAATGATAAGACGTGACTGGTTTATTGCTACTAGTGTTGAAATATTTGTCAGTTTAGTCTGTGTAGAGCAAGCACACAATGCACCCCAATTTCAGTGAGTAAGCAGGGACGTAAGCGCCCTTAGTGTGCTGGTAGGGCCATAAACTCAATGAAGGGTCAGTCACTTGATTTGTTTTATCTCACCATATAAATTTTGGCTAGTCTGTCGTGTGTAACCAGCTAAAAGCCATCATATGTTGCCTTACAAAATCGATGTTCAGCAGCAAAAACTGAGGGGATAGATGGGGAAGGGAGAAATCCATCTATAATTAAATGCACATCCACCTGAGCCATCACAGACTGCTGAGAAGACAGAATGTGTCCTTTGCACACACATCCAAAACAGACATCATTAAGTTTCAATGGTCAATAAGGTTGTCCTTTTAATGCACTTACAAAGCCCTGCGTGTGCTATGGCGCGAAAGGTGGGCCTTGGTTCAAGTCCATTTTTGGGGGTATGTTGTGGCCTCATGTATTTTGTGCCATCACTATATTTCATTTCATTTTATTGAGTTTTATCTTCACAGTTGTCGTGATCCTTCTCAGTTTCTGCTCCGAGCGCAGCCACGTCTACTTTTGTGTAATTTTAATTTACTCCTTAGTTTTGTAAAACTGTACTCTGAAATGCAATCTTGCGATTACGATGTGGCTTCTCAATGGCTATTTCCTAAGAATAAATTTGCTTGGTTTGCCTTCTATGAAATTGGTTTTGCATCTTAATGACCATGGGAAACCGCGTCGGCCAGTTGAAAATCCCAGCTCTACAGCAAAAGCAATTTTAATTCAGTCAGGATGTCAGCAGAAAGCAAATCCCATCGATAAGCTGACTATAAACAACCATGACGAGTAATCGCTGAATATTTAGCCCACTCGTGTGTGCAAGTCCCGACCTTCTGGGCCTCGTTTCCTGTCACGGCAACAATCCGACGGATGCCCTTAGCGATGGCCTCCTCTGAGACAATAACAAAGGGCGCAGCATGAGCTGAGTTCTGCAGATGCCTTTAGATAAAAAAATGGAAAAGGACAGTTGTTAGCAAGGTGCAGAAGGAGGACAAAGAGGAAAAGAGTAAGAAGTTAAG